CATCTCCTCCGGAACCCTTTTGTCTTGGAGAAAACGCTTCAGTTTCGGGTGAAGGTACTAGCTTAGTTTAGGGCCTCATTACCTCTCGAGTGAATTACTGATACGTCATTTTTTTGCCCTCTGGCAAGGTTCTCTTCTAAGGCGCAGATCCGACCGTGTCACTTTTTCAGTGGAAAACGTTCAAAGCTTACTCATCATGTTTGGGACTGAGGTCACTCAGCAGATGAGCTCCCCCACTGCCTGTGTGGTTAGGTGCAGGGCTCAGAGTGAAACGGGGGGGGGGGGGGGGGGGGGGCGAGTTCCATCAACTGTAGGCACGGAAAGTACGACACGCCCTCTTCCCTAACGGTCCCTAACAGTCTGTGACACCTCGTAAGGTCCTCCGTTTCCTGAGGGAGTAGCATCCACGGGCAGCCTGGTGATGGGCCTTCCTGTTTTCCTTGGTGACGGGGTTTAGTGGAGTCTTCGGGGGTTACTGTAATATTCTGCATAACACAAGACTGTGTAGTCTTCCCCAACCCCTCTGCCAATCTTCCTCATGGGCTTGGAGACCCTAACTCGTCTGTTTTTTCAAGAAGGACATTTCAGAAGCAAAGGCAAAGACCTCTCTAGACATGTTGGCTCTGAATGTACTCCACTGAAATGATGGAGGGGAGTTAGTGGTCAGCATCTTCCTGTAAAACGACACAGGGCAATACAAATATAGCACATCCACTTCAACTTGAAATTCAAACAGACAAGGAATAAGCTTGTAGCGTGAGTATATCCCAAATACTGCACAGAATATACTGGTACTAAGAAGTTACTTGTTGTTCAGATTTAACTGGCATCCACCCTGCAGTTCTGTGTGTGAAATCTAGCAGCCCTGACTACACTCCCTCCACCTGAAGGTCAGGGAAGGGCATCCTCCCAGCCGCCACACACCCGTGGGGCTAGGAGAAGAAAGGTAATAGTCTGGAATGATGAAAACTCCAAAACTTACAAGAGATTCCCGACAAGCTGCGACTCTCCGCCAGGGAGGGGGCGCAACTCCTTCCACAGCTGTTAGAAAACTACAAAGTGGATTCCGCCGCTGCTGTGGGCAGAACCTGCCGCTTCAGGGAGGCTGGACTGGACGGCAAGCTGGCGGGCGGCCATGGGGAAGCAGAGAGCAAACACACTGGAAGAAACAGGCCCCTTCCCTTTCCTCCGGCCCTGCAGCCTCCCTCTGCAGTGCTGGCAGAGACTCACTGCTAGCAAGGCAGAAGTGCAGAGCCAAACAGCAACATCAGGTTTGGGATTAAAAGTAAACCATTAGTGACTGGCACAAATGTAGAAGATGACCAGAGATCACACCCAATTAATGAAATTCTGAAAAAGGAGCAGCTACCAGCCCCCTATGGTTTCAACCTGATGCCAGACTTACAACTGTCATGGTTGGAGGCAGTGGGGTTTGGGACACGATACTCCAAATACGGCACCGCAGCATGTTGGGTATCTGAAGCTGAAGGGATTTGAGAAACAGCAGGTGTCGGAGGACTTCTCTGACCTTCTCGGAAGCAGGTCCCGAGACTCTCAATAAGAGGTGCCCTCCCACGCCCGGAGAAGAGGAGCTCCTTATCTCCAAAGACGCCGGGAGGCGGGGGGAATCTGAATGAACGGGCTCTGCCCAGTGTCTTCCATGTACAGCCTCCACCCTCTGTCCAGTCACACGTCCCCACAGCTGTCTGCACTTCCTCAGACCCAGCATGCAAACGGTCAGTCCGGTCCCTTCTCCTGTCTTCATTTCCCTATGAAGAAGGTCTGTGTCTTGGGAAAGCTGTATTTAAAAAATTGCATGGCTTTGATAGGGGAGCTCAAGAGTTAAAGACTTCAGCTGCAGTCGTAGTCGATAAGGCGTCATAAGTGATTAGAGCGTGTGGAAAGCTGTCATTCCAGGAACTGGAATGCATGACCTACGTGACTCCAGAAGGTCCACACGCAATTCAACCTTGTGCCCCAGGCCATTCCCAGGGGAGCAGATGGTATCTGAGTCATTATGTTCCAGGGAGAAAAGGCAGATGAAGAACTGTTGATCAACAGATGAAGACGTACCAGGAAAATATGTAACTCCCAACCCATTAACTTTTTCTCCCCAAACCCGTTACCTAAACATTCTTCTCCTTATAGAAACAGCAGCTTCAGATGAAATGTTAAGATGGGTTTTAAGGGAACATAACCCGCTGTCTTCTCAGACCACTGGCATCTGATTTAAGCACCCAGAAAGACTCAGTCCTTGTCTCTATTTATTGGTTCTGGTGGTGACAGCATGAATGCTCCCTTTTCCAGTTTCAGTGTCTTATTAATCTGTCTTTTGTTACAGAGCCACAGCCAAGAACCTACAAGGGCAGAAGGGAAAAGGGAAAATGATATGATTACTCTAGTTCCCCAGGATGATGGAACCTGCCAGGACACAGGAGCAGGTCTGGAAGACATGGGGCTCCTCTGACCTGCAGCTTTGGCTTAAGGACCTGCCTGTGGCTCTGCAGAAACTTCCCAGAAGATACGACTCCTTTCTCCTTTACCCGGGTTATCCCTGGGTCTCAGTCTGAGCCTCCTGGCTTAGCCTCTCGGCTCCCTCTGGGTTTCCTTCCACGCAGGCATTTCCCCCAATGAAATCCTTGCAGGTTAATCCTGTCTTAGTACTGAACACGAGGCAGGCTAACAGGAGAGCAGCAACGTCCTGTGGTTACTACCCTGTGTTCCTCTTTACCCCTTCCGTCAGCCCGGAAACAACTCCCTACCCTGCTAACAGTTCTTTATACTAAATCTTCTCTCTTCCAGTAACTGGTAGGGTTTCTGTCTCTTGGCTGGGGGCCCCTGAGCTCACTGAGGACTCTAAAACACTCCAGGAAGGTTAAGAGACGAAGCCACACCATTCAAGGGATGTTGATTTTCCTTTCACTTCCTGTTATTTAAGGTAGAGCTGGCAGAACAGGTTGAGCAAGGTGACCGGCCTGACACACATGGGGCATCAGACACTTGTTATGTTGTGTTTGACACTGGGAGTCACGCCGGGACACCCTGGCAAATTAGAAGGCGTCCACGGGAAAGCGATCACGGTAATGACGAATCTGGAAGCCATTCCCTGAGAAGGGTGCACTTACCGAATGTGGAGAAGAGGATGGTCTAACTGTGCCCAAGGTCAGTCTTAGGGAAACGGGATTAAACTGACTTTGCTGGGCTCCAGATTATTAGAACAGGAACCAACCAGAAGAGCTAGAATGAGACACGTGGGCTCAAGTTTGCAGCCACGCCGACTTGTGTTCCTTCACTACGTGTTAAACACGTATCTGGCAGAGGTGGGGAGAAGCCATTTTGCTGCTACTGAACTGTGTAGTTGTTTGTGCTCAAGTCTCAAATATTTGTTCCTCAAATATTTTAAACCACTTTATTGTTCTAATATTTTCTTCATTAATTAATGAATAAATGTTTGACCTGCGTTCTGTATTTCTATAAAAGTCATGTTTTAACTCTTTAAAATTACATTTGACAACAGTATGAGTTAAAAAGTGAACTGGTTGTCCAAATTGTTCATAAAATGTTAAGAAATCCAGAACTCAGAACACATGCCGCTCCCCGCACCAGTTGGCCGGCGCCTGGGGCACAGACCTGAGTCTGGGCTCCTCGCCTTCCGAACGGCTCCGTCTGAACAGAGACCACAGGGAGAGGGCAACGGGGGTGATTCGAGGCCTTGGGAATGAGTTAGGTGAGGGATTAACGGAACGGAAGGACAAAGACTCGGGAGGCATGTGCTGTGACTGTTTTTAACTTTCATCTCTGATTCTATCGAATGTGACAAATCACAGTGCTTTATGAATTAAAGAAAGTCACTAACCTTTCCATGTGTCACGTTCCTTATGTGTAAAATGAATGAGCTGAAATAGCTCTAAAACCCGAAGACAACTGTACCCAGAATAAAGTTTACTGAATAAAGAAAAGATCAGACTTCTTTTGTGTGTTTCCTGACGATGCAGCTAAGCCCTGTGCGGGTCCGCACTGGGCCACCCAAGGGTGTGCCTCTGTGGTTAGTGCATTGTTTTGAGCTAAGGGCAATTTGAGCTTCAGGCTCAAAACTTCTGCTGGTTCTTTGCACTACCTAGAAGCACTGGAATTTAGGCCTTGCCCATAACGAGGTTACCAGCCAAATCTCTTTTTGACCCACCCATGTGGAGGGCAACATTGTATTTACTAAACACCTGCTCTTCTTACCCTCTGCAACGAGCCTTTGAAGCCCCCAGGTGCATGACCTCCCCTAGCACAATGCCTCGTGCGCCTCAGCCCCCCTTTCTATCTCCAAACCTCTGCTGCACTGGGGTCTCTGAACCTGGTGCACAGGCAGGGTTCCCATACACACGAATGTATTAAGTGTGGTCATTTTCCCTTGCTAATCTGTCTCATGTCTATCTGATTATTAGACTAGCCGGAAGAACTTGAGGGTGGAGGAAACTATGTTCCTCCCACACGGGCCTCTAAGTTAGAAGTTTTGCGAAAATAGACTTATAGCCGAATATTTTAAAAAGCTTTCTAACTATGAGAATTCACAAGCACAACAAGCTGTCTCATCCAGTACTGAGTGCTGGGGCTGTTGTGGAAGATCCATGAGATGTTCACACGGATTTACCTGCTGGTGCCTCTCCGCTGGGCAGACTGGGCACTGAGCCCCTCACGGTCTGAGTCAACTCAGGCGTGTCTTGTCTTGTCTCCCTGAGCCAGTGCCAAAGGACTAACTCTGCATTTCTAAAGGTTTTCTTTCTTTTTTCTGATTTTGTGTTTGTTTTTGTTTCTGTCCTCGGCCAAGTCTGCTAGTCTGTTTGTTTTGATTAATTTAGGGTTAAGCACAGTTATGGCCTGGAGCAGGTCACGTTGGCTTGTGAGAACCAACCGTTAACACATGCGTCTTTCGCCTGTTCCGCATTTATGGCCTTGTGTTGGGAGACTGGAAACAGCGTCTGGGGGTGAATTTAGACCTCAGACGTGGGCAAATGCTACACACAGGGCTTGTTTAGGGGAGAGCTGGTGTCCAAGCTGACAACTGTGCTCAGTACAAGGTTTCTTTTCGCACCTGGATCCAGGCACTGGTGAGTCTGGGTCTCGTTTCCAACCACCAGCCCAGTCTCAGCCGTGTTATCTGGGGAGCACCCTCATAAACGTGTGGTGGGGGCCGTGTCTTCTAGAACCAGACTCAGGACTGCAAGGTGGAGCTCCTTCTCCTGGGTCTGCGTGACCCTGATACACACGTGGCTGACTGTTCTGGGTAATTGAGTTTTGTAGTCTGGCTATTTGATGGTGGATAATTGGGATCTATTTTCTATGGGGAAGGGGAGATAACAGCTAATCTAGTTTGTGAGTCTTTTAGTTGGTCTGTTTGTCTACTTGTGAGCTCAAATTAATTAAGGAAATATTTAATGACCACTAGAAAGGAAAAGAGCCTTTTGAGAACAGTGGTGGTGAGTTTCTGGTTTCTCTGTTTACTCCTGACCTGTAGCTGAGGTCACAGAGCTGAAGCCAGGCAGTTCTCTGTAATTGAGGAAAGCTTTCATCTTTCACTGTGCGTGAAACGTTTTTTACCTCTGGAGGGTGTTAACAAATTAAGTTAAAAGGTCTTTCAAATGAAAGAAACTCTCTTCCAATTGACGTATTGAGTAAGTCAATCACTTATACTTATACTAGGCTTACATAAATCTAGTAGTCCCAGAATTCCTAGAAAAAAAGAAATCAAATTTTAATACTCTAAATGTTCTAGACTTTTAACAAAAAATTCAGAAAGTGCAAACTCATAAGTGTTTTATATGATCATCAAAATATGCACGCATAATATGTAGCATATAATAATTTAAATTCACACAAGGTGAATCTTTGTATAAATCAGGCTTGTTTATAACTTTAACTTCAGAAAAATATCTTTTTTCCCTTAGTTTAGTAGTAAGTATAATATATTTGTATATTTTATATCTTAGAGGATCTAGGTTTGTTTTCTGAATTTCCTCAACTTCTTATACTATTTTATTAATAAATAAGTTAACATTACTACTTAAAACCATTAAGGATTATGAAAATTATAAAATTATATGTCAAACCAAATTAAATTATAACATTGACAATCTTTCTAATATTGGCAATGATTGTGTTCTATATTATGTTAGCTGAAATATAATTTCTAATATCCTTAACTTTAAAATATTGGACTAATATAAAATCAAGTTAATAGATAATATGAGGATACCTCATATTAGATAATCTTTAAGACAGAATGCTAAAGCATTGATTATTAAAAATATATAAATCTTTGTTTCTTTGTTTCAAAACGAGTGGATACTGGAAATTGTAGAAGTTTTACTGAAAGTCAATCGTATTTGTCATGGTTGTCTGAAAAGAAGTAATAAAATTTGTTAACATTTTGGCAAAGTTCCTCCAGTTTTGATGGGCTTGTTCAAAGATAATTTTTTGAAAAAAAGAATTTGGAGTCCTTTATTGCCAGATATTGAACTAATTCAAAACTAGAATTTGGCTCTCTACTAAAATGATAAACTGCTGTTCGAGCTCTGAACAAGGAGTAATAGTAGTTAGTATTTACCTTTCGTATGATCCATGCGTGTTGCAGTGATATACACATAATTATCAGAGTAATTTTCTGTACTTTGTGTTGAGTTTATCACATCTGTGATTGTTTTCTTAAGAACAGAGAACAAAGTCTCCTCATAGCTGAAACAATTAAGATTTCTTACGATAATTTTACCTACCTCTACATCTATTTAAAAATATTATGTTGTTGTTTTAATGAATAGGCAACTAAACTTTTTTCTCAAGCACTCACGATCCTGGTTTAATCATGAACCACATCTATGCTATTAAAACTGTTGCTTTTGTCTTCCTAAATGCTGACCCTCAATTCAGAACAAATAAAATGCTCCAATTGTCTACCCCTAAAACCACCTTGGAGACTCCCAAAGAATCTCTGAAAAAATCACAAAGATTTGTCCTTTCACCTTATTTTTTTAAAAAAGGGAATGTTAGAAATAATTAGATTGTTGAGTGGTGCACTGTTTAATAAGCTCAATACTATCGTGAGAGTAGCATGGGAAGTCCAATGGGAAGGGGTGCTCAGCCTTCCCTAAGATAAGTGTGTGGAGGTAAAATGTTATCAATATGAGTATTGCAAAGACTGTGCATTCATAGGGTGGCCCTCAAGGTTTGGTACGGGCCTTGCTGTCCGTACTGTGTTCCTAGCCTCAGGACAAAGAGCGATCAAACCCTCAGGAAACACACACACAGTGGGCCACTTTGCCCTCCCCCGTTCCGACACTGAGGGTTACTGCAGTCAATTAGCCGCAGTCCTAGAGGCCCTTTCTGCTTTGCTCTCGTGCTTGCCTGAGGGCACTGCTGTAAGTTAGAGGGGGACTGGGTCTTCATCAGAAAGCCTTAGAGCTTCCAGGAAAACACCGCATCGGGCCCTCCTTACTTCTGATGCTTCAAAGAGTGGACTCGGAGCAGAAGCTGACGGCCCGAGATGGTTCAGCTTTACCAGGATCTCAAGTCGGGATTTACAGAACTGATTTTTTTTTTTGTCCGGAAGCTGATAACTTTTTGAACTCTGATTGTTGACCCAAGACCCAGTGGAACAAGAAGTAATTGTACATGATCAAAGGAACAGCAGAAAGAAAGGTAATAATTGTGGTCATTTGTTTGGAAGATTGTTGACATTTTTAATACTCTTTTCTGATGGGTGTATTACTAATGTTTTAGGTGGCAAATGGTTGTGTTTGTTAAAAGGAATTCTTGTCTCTTAGAGGTACCTGCTGAAACACGTTTGTACAAACCGAGACAATGCCTGGGACTGGCTTCAAACCCCCTGGTGGGAGTGGGAGAGTGAAGGGAGGAGATGAGGTGCGTTTGCTCTGTGTTCATCGTTAAGCAGGGGCTGGGTACACGGGGTTTCATCGTGATGGTCTCTCTACTTCTTTATTGTCTGATACTTTTCCACAGTAAATACTGTCTAAATAATTCCATTATCACAGATTCTTTTTCTTAAGCTCTTCAAAATCATTATTTAGATGCTTACATCTTATTTCAAAATATCCACAGATGACTATTATTCCTCTTTATTGTTGAATGTACCTTTTCATGCATGAACTTTTCACTGTGTTTTGAACTGTCCCCAGAAGGGGACTTGGTGGGTCAAGAGGCATGAAATTCTAAGGCTCTTAATCATGGAAGCACGTAATTTCCCAAACGTCTTTACCGACATAAATACCCACCAAGGACATCCTCACTGACTTTGGGTATTTTACTCTGTTTTAAAATTTAACAGTTTGGTGAGGGGGATACATCTCATTGTACTTCCCCTTGAGAATTATTTCCAGTAGGCTGTTCCTCTGATGCTCCTTGAAATTTCAGTCTTATTCCCACTTCTGTTTGGATGGTCATCCTAATGGCAGGAACTTTGATGTTCAGCTACTGGTAAGCATGACCCCTTGCCTCTGAGCCAAGGGAGATCCCCGGAAGCCCTCACACCGCGACCCTGAAAACTTCTGGCTCCTAGTGCGAACAGCAGACCCAGAAGCCCGGGAAGCAACAGGTATCGACTGGCCCAGCTGAAGCTCGGAGCCAGCAGGGTAGAATGCTGCTCTGGTGGAGCCTGCAGCCGGGAAGAGATTCCAGGGTTACCTCGGGAGACCTCAGGGGGTGGGTCTTCCATGTCATTCATGGATTCTGCCACCTAAACTGGGAGGGAGAGAGTAGGCTTTCTGTACAAAGAAACTGCCCACTGAAAATACTTTTATCTAAAGCTGGACATAGCAAATGGTGGTGCAACTTAATGAATATAAAGTATGCTGCGAAAAAGCCTATAGTTTGCCTGATTGTAGGAAGATATTGCAGGCAACAGGGGGTAAGGAATCAACTTCCTGCAGCTTGTTTGGAAGTGTCAGGGGTAAACCACCTGCCGACAGGGATGAGACAATTCCTTTTCTTAAGTCAAACTTGGTTGGACATAATACTAAATTTTTCTTCATTACTCTACTACTGAATCTTCCAAGACGACAGCTCGAAGCAGATAACTTAGGGAAAATGGGAAGTAAAGCAGGAGAGTCTTACAAACTAACAGAGCCCCTTTTCGACGTCATTACCATTTTAAGGAGCGTATCGAAGAAATCACCTCTCCAGGTTGCTTGACAAGTAAGTTTTTACTTATGAATCTGTCAGGAAAAAAGTGTGAACAACTTTAAAATGGGCAAAAGGTTAGTGGGTGTCTTTTCAGAAGAAAGCTAGGTGTTGGCTAGGAGACCTTGGGGGTTTGTCTAATTTTACTGGGGTCTGTGCCTTTCACTGCCTGCGACTGGGCTACTTTACGACTCTGTCACTATCACAAAACTGGCAGTGACACACAGGATTCTTGCCCACAGAGATGCAAATGTTTGTCACCTTGTAGAGGTGTCGTTGGTTTTCCCATGTAGTAAAGAAGATTCCAACCATGACATTTTATTGGCCTAATAAGTTTTGCATCTATTGGCAATTTCATTGTCTCATTCCTGACTGCCTGTTCTTCAGATTTTTTTCCCCTTTAATCTGGATGTTAACATCTCACTGGTTTCCTCACTATGAAAGAGTTCTGTGAAATTTCTGGCACTTCACCTGTCTGGGTTACTCAGCCGCTGGAGCTTCTACTCGTAAACCAAAAAGCTTCAGGTTCAACTAGGTTTGATTCCTGGTTGGGGCACATTTGGGAGGCCACTGACTGATATTTCTCTCCCACATCGATGTTTCTCTCTCTCGAAAATCAATAAAAAGATATCTGCTGATGAGGAGTAAGAAAATATATCTGGCACTTTCCCATTTCATATTTGTATGAGCGTCTTGATTTTTATTTTGAAAAAATTATCCTTTAACAATTTAAACCGCAATTTAATATGTATTAATTCTTTCCAGCAGTCATTAATCATGTTTTTTTCCCCCAGAAGACACAATTTTTTTTCTGGCATTTGTAAGAGACGAGTTCGCGGGGCTGAATCAAATCCCCTCTAACCCCGGAGTGGGCGGGTCTCTGCCTCGCTGCTCTGCCAGACAGTAAAGTGGTGTCTGGGCTGAGCCTGACCCTGCAAAGCTTCTAAGGACAGGAGTCCAGACACTGCCTGCCCACTGAAGTTTTTACAAGTACTCAACGCACCGGGGAAAAGTGGAAAGAAAAGACGGGATGGAGGAGAGTGCCATGGGACAGTGATGAGCTTTTGAGGGGGCTCTGGGGAAGCAGGGTTTTACCCCTGGCAGGGTCTTGTAGCTGGGCAGGGGCCCACCGACGAGTCCACCGGGGCTGAAGGGAGGCGAAGTCACCTCCAAATGTCTTCAACTCACGTTTAGAGTGGACTTCAGGAAAACCAGATCAGGAAGGACGGCACGGTTCTTAAGTTGCCCTTACATACCTGCACGAAAGGTGTGCAGAAGAGCCTGGTCCGAAGGCGAGTGGCAGCACCGTGCTGCCGGCAGGCCGGCCTGGGGATGGCTTTGGCGGCCCGGACGTGAACCTCCTCAAGTTCCCCTGCTGGTGTGCGGTGTGGGTGGGTGACACACTCACACGCCCCAAAAGTACAGTGGTGTGTGTTGCAGAGCACGCACACAAGCACACGTACTGAATTTCCGAAGGACACAAACAGAACTTCAGGAGCAGTAGAATCTAAACTCATTTTGCCCTGCCTGGGTGGGCCAGTTGCTTAGATGGTCACCCTGGTGGGCTGAGGGTGAGGGTTTGATCCCTGATCCCTGGTCCGGACACACCCAAGAATCAACCAATGAACGCATAAATAAGTAGAACAACACATCAATGTTTTTTTCACTCTCTCCCTTCCTCTCTAGAGCTCTCTAAAAGTCAATAAATTTAAAAAATAATAAAACTCATAAAAACCAACAAAGATTTTTTTTTAAAAAACATTTTTTTCCCAGTACTAATTGGTAGTTATGGGGTAAGTCACAGGAATGTAAAGTACAGCACGGGGAATATAGTCAATAATATTATAATTACTATGTACGGTGCCAAGTGGGTACTGGAAATATCGGGGGGAACACTTTGTAAAGTATATGATTGTGTAACCATTATGCTGTATACCTGGAACTAATATATAATAATACTGAAAGTAAAGTGTAATTGGAAAATTAAAATATATAAATAAATAATTTTCAAAAAACCACTTTTCTCATTCGCAACAAAATCTCAGAGCTGCTTTTTCCCAGGAAGGGAAGAGCTCTCGTTTGACACCCTGTTGCAGAGCGAAGCCGGCTCCCTTTGTTTGTCCTCGGACAAGGATCCGGAGGTACTTGCATAAGAAATGGGCCTCACTGCAGAGCAATCTCCCTCTCAGTGGACCTCCTCGGGTTCACAAAGACCCGGAAAGAGCATTAGTGTTTATGGCTTTCTCCTCTTTACTATTAAGCCCAGGCCCTCACATCTTTCCGGTGTGGAGATTAGAGAGATGCAGAAAGACGTGCAGGTTTAATCTCCTCTCCGAGCAAACCCCTGAGAACTGGGGGTGGGAGAACTGTGGGAAGTGCAGTGCGGGGAGACAGTTTCTTTCATTCACAAAAATCTAATGACTCCCACACGTCGTTAGAGCTGGAAGGGCCGTAGGGTCACTGTGGACCAACCCCTTCAGCTGACACTGAGAATGGCGTTTGGGGAGAGACACAGGGAGCATTGCTACAGTCCCCACACTGGGTGTCTGCAATATGCGTATGTGAGTGAGTCTCCTCCCCGAAACTTGGCTAATAGCAAAAATCTTAATATTATAGTATATTTTTACTTCTAATATTCTTTTTATTTTTACCACTAACTTAACTGTTTCAGCCCCAACCTTTAAAAAAAAGTTCTGTGTGCACTTCAATATTTACGATGGCCGTTCGTTTCAATTCTCTGCAGTGTGCTTGTCGGGGAGACCCTCCAGGCACACTCCCTGGGGTGGCTCATTCAGGGAGCAGCACCCCACCCAGGCCAGGCAGGCAGGGGAGCCTTGTCTAGAGAATTTAAAAACTAACAGAACCAACTAAGGGTTGGTCTGCTTTTATTATCACCGTCCTCTGCACTAAACAATGTCAGTGATAACATTGTCCTCCCTGAAAAAAGGCTTATGTTGGCTTAAATTCTAAACAATCGCTGCAGTTACTGTTAGTTTTAATCTATAAGGAAGCTTCCAATGAGCACATTTTGTCATTTTTTTAAAAAATACACATTGTAGTCCGTCTAGAAATAAATTCAGAGAACTACCCACGACTCAATTAACCTTCGATACACGTGGGCTCAGCCTCACACACTTGTTTCACGGTAATTTCTCCATCCCCTGCGGTACTTCATATGTCTGCATTCAACAGCTCGCTGTGTGATACACAAGGACAGCGCAGTGACTTTAAAGACGAAGAAACAACTTCGGTTACCTCAATGCCTCCATTTTATGGGAACACTTATTTTTCTCTATGCAGGTCTTTTGTTGAATGAAAATTTTAGTTCGTATGTGAGAGATTTGAATGCTATCTCTAACATCGTCATTTATTCTTCTCTTAAATTGTTTTAAACTAAAAAATAAATCCAGGAACTGAAATATTACATTAGTGATATAATTTAGTTGTCACCCAAATAAATATCTCTGGCTGAAGTTGTGGTTTTATTAAAACCTACCCACTAG